TCGGTGTAGGGTCGGGTTGTTTGTTTGTAAAGATTTTAACACAGGACACTTATTCTAAACCATTACAATATGCGCCAGGGCACTTGAAAGAAAAGCCTATTTGACAGGTTTGGTCAAAATCCGTTGACAAATGTAGGAGTGCATTTCTTTTTTCTTTGTTTTGTTAAAAAACACAAGACCATAATTCCCCAAAAAATGTCAGAATTGCAAAACCCCGACAGTATCTGCCAGGACATGACGAAAGCTTCAGTGAATGTTTAGTGTAGGTCTAGGAGGAATTACACAAGAAGTGTTTGGTTTTCTTAAATAAACCAAAACTAAGGGCCATAGTTCGCAAAAACGTCTTGACTAGCAAAATGACGAAAATATCCGCCCAGCACTAAAACCATCCGTGTAAGTTTGGCGTAGAGAGGTGCGTGCAAAATAAATTGTTTACGTCCGTCGACCTGCCGCCGACATACTCTTATATAATAACCAGATTTTTCCTGGTTCAGAATATTCAGCATTTAATCAAATTATTTCTGATTATATAACATTGACATGAACAAAACACACATCATGATATTTCATGGCATGAATGCTTGAAAATTAACGATCAGTTAGGCTCCATTGGATTAAGTTCAGGTCGTTAAATTCGATCTACTTGCCCCTTTATTTTTCTATGAATCGCTTTTTATTTGAAAGTATAGAAATAACTGATATTGATTTGCTGACTTTGATATATAACCGGCAGTTCCCATATTTTGATATCTAGGCGCCCCACTTTGTTTCCTAATATACAATTATTTCTTTTAAATGGTTAAATCAAGTCACATTGTCTGAGCTGTGACAATACGATTACATTAAGCAACAAATTATGAGATCAATTTTTACAAAAAATCATTATAAGAAATATGAGATGCTTTTATTTGTCCATTTGATTGGAAATAAGGTCATTTCTCCAATTCTTTATCATTATCAGACAATGACATCTACTTGACTCTAGGGAGCACCTATTGTTTATATTTAATTCACTTGCTTAACACTGTTAGCACAGAACTAAACTTTCTTGCCCTAATAAGTTTATAAATTGCCATGATGGATTAAATCATTCTTTACAAATTCTAATCACAATATGACAAAAACGCATAAAACGTATAGGTTATTCATTTAAAAGAAATAATTTTGTGAGAAAAAATATTGAAAAGGTGTGAACTATAGTAACAAAATATATTAAATTTTGTGGAAATGAATACAAAGGCAAATCCTAATTATGGTAATTTTGGTTGGTTAGTTGGTTGGTTGGATGGATGTTTTAACACCAATTTTAACACATTGTTTGATCATATTCCGGTGCTAGCTCAACCTAACCGACTTTCCTGCATACCTTGCGTTAGATGAAGAAAGGACTTTAATTCAGAAGAATTGTTTGACTTTTTAATGATAAAATAGGAGAAAGTCTGATAAAGCCAAAATTGAACACGACTGAGCCTGTCATGTACTGCAGTGGTAAATGCATGCTACCGGCTCAAAGTTTATATATTTTAGAAGGAAAATACACTTTTCATCATCTGAACCACAATACATTTATAATATGTTATTGTAGCAACGGATAAGACGTAAGTAAACAGATGTTTGACGATTGCCTTTATCTGATAACTTTTATGCTAGACAGCCGATTTATGTGAATAATTATTCAGTCATCTTGGAGTAACACTGAATAAAGCTTGAATGTGCGCCAGGTTTGATTATATTGTTATGATTAATCACCTAGTTTATAGGTGTCGAAATAAAGTTATAATTCAAGGAAAGTGACGACGTGTTCTGATATCTGAATTCCAAAAAGACCAAGTTTTTTGTCAACAAGAATTATTATACAAATCAATAGGGCAAAAACATTTATTTACAAGTTAAATTCCTTTTGGAATTACCAAATGCAAACGATATTTAGTAGCATAATCGTGCCCATAACGATTATAAACGGTAATATACGGTCGTAAAACGTTTAAAACAAATTACACCCATTCATGAAATTTCAATTCATGCGAAAAAAGACGAAATCCCTCAATAAGAGAAAATTATTGGAATGAAATCAAGATTTGTTTTATATGAGAAGTGACGAAATGTGCACAAACTCTCACGTCACCTGACATCGGCTTCAACTTTGTTTATTTATCAACGTTATTTCGTATCTTTCGTATTTTTGTAGCAAGTCGTCAAGGCTTCAGATGAAATATTTACCCGAAGTGGTTTGAATGTGTTTTAACTAGTTATTATAGATGAACATATTATGCCCATAGGCGGATGTTACTAATAGGAAGTAATATTTTAACTTATAATGAGTACAGTCTAAACAAGGACTACCCAGCGACAACAGTAATTAAAGATGTTTTTTGTCTAAACTGTACACAGCCTCTTTTAAATGTTAATATAACATTTGTAGTACAACGAGAGAAGATATGTAATGTTTTAAGCAGTACATACACTAGGCAAACACTGTACTCATGCAAAGTATCATTAAAGAATTGCCATTTGTTAAGGAAAGGCAAACATTAACCAGTAAGAGTGATTTTTTAAACATAAATTGTTCATTGTCTGATCCGAATTAAACATATTTGGTAGACAATTGCCTAGAGTTTGATCAATATCTCCCATAAAATCATTTAACCTAGTATACATTAATATACTTTTTCTTTAATCATTCCTCTTGTTTTTATCATTTTTTCTTGTTATGGACTTCGCACAAATAACGTTTATATAGTAACATTTATTGTTCTCTGTTTCTTTTAGTTTTGAAGTGAAAATTATATGGTGGTGTTTATAGTGAAATATAATAATTTTACATAGCATGAATGAATATATTTGTTTAACTTTAGCCTTTTCATTTCTAATGATATGTTGCAACGTTAAGTCATGAGCTTTCGTCATCAACCCAATCAACGGATCCTGCGGCGGGATTAGGAATGTTAATGTTATTCATAAAATTGTAATAAAATTGTTCATAAAATGTCGCTTCGGTCGGTAATACATTGCGTGAAAGATGTTGCAATTTACAAAATATCTCATGCAAAGCCCACATATATCCAAATCTTCTTTCTGCAGCTAATATGTTTGTATTGTCATTGTACTTTATGAATCACCATGTTCTAGATTTGTTTACCTGAGTATCATTTATAAATATATCTACGGTATTAAAAATTTTATAATTTGAAGGAAGTATTGTAAAGTTTAAGTTACGCTTCGTATAGGCATTTAATATAGATAAATATGTCTCAAGTGGAACTACATAAGTTTGTACATACGTTGTTGTATAATAATTCCATGTAATTATTACAATTTTAATATCATTATACTATTATATTGTTCTACTACCGTTATTTCTCTGTCCTGTCCTTTAACCATCTTACCTGCTACATAGATTCCTGAAATATTGTTATTATGTATATTAGAATGCAAAGTTACAAACCTTGTTGAACATAATTATTCGAAACGTCGTTGCATTTTAAATTTCAGATTTTCTTTATCGAAATCCTTCACATTTTATGATTGCCTTAACGTGTCACACAGAAACCTTCTGGGAATTTTCAGCAAGCTCAGTTGATTTTCAATTTGCAAACTTATCACCGGCAATCTCAAACATTTGAATAAAACTTCGACAGATAATAGACTCACTGTTGTACAGCGTCCACCGGATATAGCCCTTAAAAACACCGAAAACGAAAGTAGAAAGCTTCACACTGAGTACACCCAAGGTAAGGTTTTAACTTATTTCTTCATCATAACTTCATCGATTTTTCCAATCTAAACAATTTTGTGAAGCTAAGCGTTTCTGGTTTTAGAGCAATATTTGCTTTTGTCTGCAAATTGAATACTTTGTGTTAACTTGGCGATAACATGTAGCGTATCTGTTGACATTTGCGAACGATGTTGATATTTACCACTTAATCAAGCCCAAAACGCATGTGCTGTATCAAAATTTGCCGTTTAACACAAACTGCAGTCACCCCTCTACTAAAATTTGAGTTTACACTATTCAACTTGAGCTAATTTTAACAAAATTTGCAACAAACGACCTTTCCTTGTGTACAGAGTCTAGCAAAGAAAACAAATTTAAGTGAACGGGGTGTAGTAGTTTAATGTACAGGGTTTAGTAGATGTGTACGGTGTCTAGCAGTCAAATATTTTTAAAGTATAGTATTTTATATCATTTTTAATTGGAAATAATCTCATTTCATACTAAACATGGATAGATTAGAGGACAATACAGAGGTATTTTGGTAAATAATTTAACTTCTTAGTGTTCTTGAGCCTAACAGTATAGCTGCGTTTAATTTTTATTGTCATACCATCAGCTGAATAGTGTCTGTCGGTATTTATAAGACATGTTGAGGAGTTTTCTGACCAACTCGCTAAATGGAAATGGTCCAATGGGGATTTATATATATACATGTATAACTAATTATATTCTATTAACCCTTGTAAGGCAGTTTTTGGAATACAAATATACACATTATCTTGTACGAGAACTTTAGTTGTACAGTTATCGTCAAAAGCTTTGCTGTTTTTAAAGATCAACTGCGTAAGTTTTCAATATAATAAGAAACAAACAAGACATCTGTATGGTAATAAGTTAGTCTCTTGGAGGAAGAAAAAGAGTTTAAAGCTACTCGCTTTTGAAACAACGGTGTAAATTAATAACAAACAGATGCTGTCAATTTCAATTTATTATATTCTGTATCCATATTAATGCTTTTCCTTTCAATACTTTTGATCATTTTCAGAAGTGCATTATTTTTGATAATACATGTGTCCAAAGGAAACGTTATTCTGATAAAACCGTATAGATCTTTTAATTTGCAGAGAAACTTGTACGAGAATTTTAACAGTTATCAAAACATTTTAATTACTTGAATTACGTTGCGAAGAATTATGATAAAGATTTATTTTATCTCAAATGTACAATAATATTGACCTAATATTATATTATTTTTATTAGTAGCCCAATTATCTGTAACAAATAACACATCTGTACAATGTACTGCCTGCTTTGCAAAGTGTGTCGTGATGATAGTCAATTACATCTTTACTGTGTTTTCTTTTAAGAACATTCCTGTCAATAATAAAAAGAGAACAGTTCAGAATGATTATATTCTTTTCCAATGTTAACAATGTATGCACACTATATCTTGTCGATATGCAAGTGAATATATTTTGGTAAAAATATCACTTTAATTAACTCTATAATTGCACTCCATCGTCCTCTTTTTGCACATGAATGCGATTCATATCCGTTTCATTTACTTTGCATAGTCGATAACTTTCAGTAAAATTTACTGTCGATTGTCTTTGGAAGTTCTTTTTACTACAACAGCAAATCAACGATTTAAACTGGTTTCTAAATTTCTTTCCTGTCGCACAATATAAAAAGAAGTTTATACTATGATTTGTATACATCAGCATTTCAGCAATTGTTTCAATGAGCATGCGCTTTGTAAGTGAATAGTCGTCGCCAGCGTCTTCGGCGAATGATGTATAGATTAACACTATGACCATAGGAAGTGTGGTGACGAGGAATGCAATAGAAACAGCCAATAACATGAACGTTATTTTCTTATTCATTTCCCCTTGAGATCTTTGCTTTGGTCCAGTAGATGAAAACGACGAATGCTGCCTTAAAATATCCCTTGCTTTCTTTGCAGATATAACATTTTGAATGATAAAACCATTCAGAATAATGATAACTGAAAAAGGCACAAACGAGTATATCCCGGCATCAACCCAAGGCCAAATATTTTCTACCAAATATGAGTACTGAGGCTTTGCCTGACATTTTGAAATGATGGTATCATTGTATGACAATTCTTGTAGTTTTACTGACCACAGAAAATGAAAATTGACTAAGAAGAAGAATGTAATGATAGTTGCTATGGTTATGCGGGCATTCCGAGCATTGCAGAATCTTGGCGCTTTGAGGGGAACCATGACAACGATTGTTCTTTCTATAGTAACGGCAACTATCAGCCACACTGACGTATCACTGCTAAAATAACCTAGGAATTTCACAATTTTGCACAATACGTTGTTCATGTCCTCAATATCTAAGACAAACAATCCAAGCCAATGTCGAAACAAGCCAATATATAACACTATTAAATCCATCAACGCTAAGACACTGAGGTAACTGTATGTAGAAGCTTTCTTGGCATTGTTCATCAAAATGAAAAAGGAGAAAACATTTCCAAGAGTACCGATAACGAGAAGAATAGGTGATACAACTAATAGTATTTGTTTGTGTGCAATGTAGTCAGAATATTGCATTAACGAGTCTTCGTAAGCTTTGATCGTCATGACTGCCGGTCCACTTTACCATAACTGTACATTTACTGAAACGAAATATGTTGCGCCACGTTCAAAGCTCAAAAGCCAATCACGCTGCCAAATGTTATTAAAATGGATATATGTTGTCATCATTATATACAACGTCGACCAACTTGTCTTGCAAATTTATCCAAGTTTGTCGTTGAATAACTTGTATTTCTTCATTGCCTGAAAGTAAACAATGTGTACTGTTTTAAATTAATCGACATAAAATGGTTCAATTTTAGCAATTAATGTTTAAATACGTTAAATGACTAGACCTCACACAAACAATATAACACTATGTTGTTCATTTGAATTGATGATTGAATGGGATGTTACACAAATAATTTTTGCAAACAGAGAATAAAGCAGATTATGTTATGAATTATAATGTATGATATATAATGATACAAAAACTTGAAATCTATTTATTTTATCTTATCCTTTAAAACACAATTGTTCTTTATATAAAATAATTACACATTTCTATCTAATGAAAACAAAATATCCTGTTATAAAAGTTATTTTATAAAGTTTAGAAATTTTTATCATATCAAACAAATATAGACTGAGATATGTGAACAACTTTTTTTTTTCAAGACACTATGTAAACTCTCGAGGACTTTTATCTTGTAGTGAACGTAAATTCGTGGAACTTAATGAACAAATAAACTGACTTTGAATTTTTTTTTTACTTTACTATGAACTATGTATTATCAAAAAAATCATTATGATATTTTCTATTAAATAATTCGGAAACAATATGCGTCATATACAAAAAATGCAGCTTCATATCCAAATAAAACTGTTGAAATGGAACAAATTTGTGATCAGGAAAAATGACATTCTCGTAAATCTGCAAAAGATCATTGGAATTTAGTGTGTATTTTGGCAGAAGTAACCAGGAGGCGGTAGTTTTCAGTAGACGGTAGTTCAAATTATATATACAGACCCAAATCTTACATCCAATACTTTATTAACGTATTGTTGTACAGAATATTTGTCTGTGGGACCTATTCTTTAATTCATCAATTCACTCGTTCAACAAAAAGAGAAAGCCAAACTTCATTACTGACATTTCCCATGAACGACTGTTCTTGACAATAAAGGGTGAATATTAACTGTCCAATTATCATGAGCTACACAAAATAGTTGCCTCTGTTCAATATATATTTTCTCAAAGCATACAACGTCAAATCGGACATCTTGAATTAAAAAAAACCGTCTTGATACCTTCATAAGACAATGGTATCTTGAAAACCTTAAAATATTGATATCACTGCCATTTAACATTTATAAATGCATCACAATCTGTTTCATGAAATGAAACTCCTTTTGGTGATGGTTGACATATTTTCATAGTTATATGTATCTATATTCATTTTTGCGCTTTCATTAAAGATCCTGTAACACAATTTTTTATGATTTTTTTTTATAAACATAATGCTTAAATTAAGATTTGTCAAATTTTCCAATAAGAAATAAATGCATATAATTTATTGATTACTTATAATGTGCACAAATATTTGTAGTACATATTTTACATATTCTTCGATGTTTGAAACTTGTTTTATAATATTAATTCTTGTAAGAGTGGTATACACTAAGGTACCATATCAATTACAAAACATACAGGATCTTTAAACTCTGCTGCTTTTAAAGAAGCAATCACCATGATCGTTTCGTAAATTCTAGATAAATTTGTAATTCAGATTTAACATTTCCGTAGCCGATAAATAGAGTAAATGTTTTATAGATAATGGATACAGATTAAATCTTTACTAGAAAATAATCATATATTCTTATTAACTGAGAGCTAACATGCGAAAAGACACCAACACAAATGAAATAATTGTATGTTTCATAAACTATTATGCTATACAAAAATGAATAGTTCTGATGCACAAAAAAAACTTGGAATTATCTATAAATTACACAGGATGAAACAAATTTCAATATTATTTATATCATCTTCAACAATTCGGAAATAACAAATGTACATGTGTATAAATTTACTGCGATTCGGTAATTAGAAATAAAATGTTGAATGCTACTTTTGAAGATATGCTGATATTGGACATTTGAAAATACTGATATTTGTTGTAGTCTATTTAAAAAGATAAAATATATATCTTTCTGTTAAATACACAAAAAGAAAATATGTTTTGTTTTAAACTCTACACACTATAGGTTTACACAATTTGAATACATAGTAACATAAAATAATGGTAGGTTTTAAAAAAAGGCAGGCGAATTTACTAGACTTGACAAACAATATGGAATCTTCTTACTAAACAAAGTCTTATTCAAGTTTAAAAAAGCTGGTAAACCCTTTTTAAATGTAGACATATATCTGAAATAAAAGTATTAATTTAAAGATGAGCAAATATATATAACTTAAAATAAATATGATTTAATGTTCCTTTTTTTGCATAAAAAACTATTCATTTTTTCGGTATATAATTCTATAATTAGTATCATTAAATTATTATCATTTAATTATATGAGAAACAAATCCATGTACTACGTTATGAAATGTTATTTGCTTGATTATAATAACAAATAGTAATTAATTAGGAAGTTTTGTTTAATTAATGAAAACATTACGTTGTTCGATTTCGGAATTAAAGAATAAAATCCACTTTACATAATACACTTATTGAACAATACTTCAATACAAATTCTTTAGTAATTTCCTGAATCAAAACTCCTTTTCATGATCTTGTACTGTTTGTTTGTAACCTTTTAATCCATTTCATAGAAGAGAGAAAGAAATAACATAGCTTTAGTTTTGCCTTTGAGAAAGATTGAATAAAAAGCATGCTCTTGTCAATTGATAAAATATTACCATTTGTACGCAAATGATTTTGAATGACAACAATGTAACGTCTTATCTTAAGAAGATAAAAAAAATCTATTGGGCTGTATTTGCAGTATCTTCATTGTTCAGCTAACAACTGTCTTCATTGATGTTGTAACTTATTGGATAACTCACAGATTGTTTGGCAACGGAAGCATCTATTCCTGTAGCAGTCACCGTATTGTTTGTTAACCTACATTTCGTTCTCATGACCCGTGCTATTTTGTATCTAAACCTCTAAGATTACTTTGCAGAGCAATATATTTTTATATGATTATCGGTTTATACTGTAAATTGAAAATGTCAGGATAATAAATGTTGAATCAATTATAATCAGTAAACAAACTATTATCAAAGCTAACAAGAAAGTGTATATAATACTTTTAAGTAGCATTTTCTATTCCTTCCTAATTAAGACAAAAAGTAACATAAACAATTATGATACCTATTTTCAAATAACTTATTTTCTATGACAATACCTATCATGTTTACAATTTGTTAAAGAGACAATATGTGCTATATTCGTTTGCGTTTTAGAATTTTGAATTTTAAAATAATATCTGATCCTTTTTAAAATATATATCATGACGTTGTATGGCAAATATAAAAATATACGCAAATGTGACTTAATATAAGTCTTTTTTCAAAGTCAATTTAGATATAAATCAAAATCATGACAAAACGTTTTATTTTTTATACATAATATGTCATAATGATCAAACTATTTCAACGGGCAGCCAGTAATATTTTGATAAAACCAAGCGTTTTATTTTAAATAAATTGTGTAATATTATAATGTTATCAATAATTATAAATTTTAAAAATATAATAGTATAATTTATGAAACCTAATACAATGCACAAACATATTTTTAAAAAATGCAAACTTGTTGAATTTATCGTTTAAATACTGCAATGTTCAAAATAGACTTTTAAATAATTTAACTTTACCTTTTTAGTATACAATTCCAATATAAAATTAGCTCTTAAGTGTTACGCATTATTTAAGCTTGTATCACCAAATGGCAAACGCCAAACATGTTTATAGAAGGAAGCGATGTTCATATCTATTGGAAAAAAACCCGTTATTATACTTACATACTCTTTGATAGAAGAGATGTTTTGGCACATTTGCTTGTTTTTATGAAGCATCTGAATCGCGTTAGAACTTTTAAACTATATTTGCTGCATTTTACAAAACAAATCGCCAAATAGTTATATAAAGGTAGAACAAATGTTAACTTTTGCAACAATTAAAACACTCCAGTAATATTTACAACAAACTATCTCCTTCAACTAATACTGTTTAGTGAAAAAGCAAGGAAAATGTAAAATTGTAAATATTGGCATTTTATATTTCTATGATTCCTTACAATTTATGCAGGGATATCTAACTTATAGTTGTAAAATCAAAATTGAAATCAGAGCATTTTCTTATTTTCAAAATAGCTTCAGTATATTATTATGCTATCTTTATTTAATGCAATATAACTACGACTCTGTGAAGAAAAACTTAAAAAGGGTATCTAATAAATTCACAATACTTAGTCAGAAAATGCTAATTTTGCCATAGTTAGTTTAGATTAAAACTTTATAACTGATGTGATATTTTGTGCAATTAAATTTGTCTGTCATTGACACAGAATTTCATTTTTATACAAAAAATTCATGAACACATAAGATTTTACATAAAGGCTTCAGTTATATTACTCTTTAATTGAATTTTCATGTATGTTTTGGAAAATCTGAAGTGATTAAAACGAACAGAACGAGCCTTCCCCTAAATAAACCCAATTATTTCAAGTGATGGGAAAGGGAAACGATTGATGAATGTAGCTAGGAATAGGTTAAAAACGTATAACTTGAAGCGCCATTGAGTAAACACGTTTGGATTAAGTGGATAAGAAATCTATATGTATTTATATAAAATGCAATCTAAATGCAAATCAGTAATGATGCCCTGTAACTCATATTTATATGTGTTGACATTTTATCTTACAGATATGATAACCTTACCTCAAAAATATATACGCTTATATGACAGTTGATGAGATGTAGGCATTTGATGGATAAAACATGATAACCTTTTTATTGATCAATAGTAAAACTAATAAAGCACTTTTGTATTAACCTGAACCAGGTCAAAGTAATATATTTTGTGAATCCATGTTTTAAAATAAAATAATTAAATTACATATATTTCGATTTTCGCATAAAATACCTGCAGCAATAAAGACTACAAAAATAATTTTAAAACCTAATGCTATAAAGGCGATGATAGGTTTTGCATTGTGCATCATTGTGCAGAA